TAACAATGCTCACCGATGACTCTGGTACTAATAAAAAATAGTACTTGAAGAAATTACAAGAGGAGGATAGTACTTACAACCATATTCTAATGAATATGAAATTGAATTTTCACATTTGGAAGTCTCAGTGAATAAAGGTATTTTCTTGGCAAGAACAAAATTGACCAAAGAAAAATTATACATTTATATACATAAATAAGTGCGCCAATGTTGTATTGAAATTGTGGGTGATTTCTTTTCCTTCTGATCATCCAGTTTTAGTTTCCCAGCTTTCTCCACTAAATATGTATCAACTTATAATTAGGAAAACAAAAAGGAAGCAGCCATAGTTTCCTGTGCTATTGGACTATTGAACACAGAACCAGAATCGCCCTCTCTCCCCAAACAAAAGCTCGGCCCCAGTGCCCACACTCCACAGCAGCCATGAGGGAGGCATGACTCTCCCGATTTTTACAGGTGAGGACACTGGCCCACACAGGACGGTCACTCGCTCCGAGAGGCCCAGGTCACATCAGGGGGAGAGGAGGGATGCGAACCCAGGTGGGCCCATTCTCAGAGCCCAAGCCCTTCCCTCTACATGAAGACTTTTTATTATCATATCACAACCACGACCACCAAAAGGTCGTTACAAACTCTTCCGCCCCATGCAGCGGGGCCTCCTTCTGGATAAATACAATCTGTTCGGAACATGCCCACACGAACGAAAATGTTGCTGAAATCAAAGCATTTTACCCCACTTCGCTCATTGCTGTTGTGGGCTCGCGATCTTTGTGGGTTTGTTTTTCATTCCCTGCTGTAAGCCTGCCGATGTCTACAGCGACATGGCAACTGAAGGGAGAGAAACGGTTTTCCTAGAAAATGCTCAGCCATGTGTTTCATCCTCCTTTCATATGGTTTTGGGGAAATTCTCTCCTCCTGTACCCCGTCCCCTGTCCCCAACATTCACAAAGTGCACACTTAATACTCTAGCTGCCATTTAAACACCCCCAATTGTTCAAAAGAAATTAAGTTGGCGGTTACAAAGTTTTGAAGCGTGGATTGCGTCCCCGCCAGCTCCACCTGAGATGGCACAAATCATTCCGGTACAGAGGGAGCCAAGTGCCCGCTCCGCAGTCCGGGATCAAGTCCAGGATCAAGTCTGGGACCCTGTTGCCTTGAAGGGTGAGGATGGGTTGCAGGGAGAGGCGGTCCAGGAATGGAGAGGCCGGGTCAGAGCTCTGAGATCAAAACAAACTGCTTACCTTTACCTAGTCCAGTGATGGCGAACCTTTTGAGCTCGGCGTGTCAGCGTTTTGAAAACCCTAACTTAACTCTGGTGCCATGTCACATATAGAAATTTTTTGATATTGGCAACCATAGTAACACAAAGACATATTTTTGATATTTATTTTATATATTTAAATGCCATTTAAGAAAGAAAAATCAACCAAAAAAATGAGTTCACGTGTCACCTCTGACACGCGTGTCATAGGTTCGCCATCACTGAGTCCTAGTCATTCCCCAGACACGGTGGTTTCCATGGGCACCAGACGCCCCTGGCCCTTGAGCAGCTCACCATCCAGGCCTGGCTTAGGGGAGGCAGATTTTAGGAAGTGAATGTCATTCTGCTTACGTCCATGGATCCTGGGAAAGTGTCTTTCAAATGGAACTCTAGGGACGCCTCAGAGGTGCCCTGGAGGCTGTGAAAGGGAGAGGGGGGAGTGTTGAGGACTCTTCACCCCCCACCCCCGCCCTACCCCGCATTTCAACCGCAGTAGCTCTGCCGGCTCTGTTTCATGTACTTGGATTCCCTGTAGGTTTAATTTTGGCTCAAAGTGGCTTTTAAAAAGTTCAAAAGAAGCCCTGCTTCACTCATGGATGGTGGGATGGCAAGCGAGGGCTCACTGCTCATCAGAACGTCGGAAGAGTCAAAGCATTTCCATCTACAAGTGCCCAGGACCACCCTCCTTGGTCCAAACTCCTCTTCTTAATGACGGGAGAAATCGCCGAGCAGAGCCAGGGAAGGCGCAAGCTCACGGTCACGGCCATGTCTCAGCAAGTGCTGCTGCAGAACCTGGGAAGGTCATGGTGGCTGCTCCATCCCACAAAACGGGATTCCAGTAAGCAAATCACATTTCCAAAATGCATCGATGTAGTTCGGTCCTGTTTCTGTTCAAAACACAGGAATAAGTAGGGATAGCAACCTGCCAGCTAATGTTATTATTGAATGTTGAAATTAATGCAAGGTCCACAGTTATGAGCCACAGTTCTTATGGATGAGGAGACATCGATTCTTTTTAAGGGAGATGATTTCTGGTGGGTTGTACCAATAAATCCAGAGACTAACTCTCCCTTCAAGACTGGCTCATTCAGTCAGTTTACATTTACTGGGTGGGCTCACCCACCGGCCCCCTCCACTGACATCACACATGAGATCACTGGTTTTGTAAATTGAGAAATTGAACCTCTTAGTTTTGCTTTTCTCATTCTTCGGGGTCACATCGATTATCCCAAGCTTTGCATTCTGTGTAACGTGTGTCTGAAGTACCAACTTCACAGAGAGAAGCAAAGAGCCAAGGGAAGGAGAATGGAGTGTCTGTGCTTCGGGGCGTGGAGTGTCCCAGGTGCCGTCTCATGAGGTTGCATAACCCTGTGGCTTCCCACTCTATCACTCACGTGTGCGCTCAGTGAAATCCACACTGCATCTCAGCTCATTCTCACCACACCACAGCCCTTAACGCGGCTCCTGGCCTCACAGGTACGGAAGAGCCAAGAGCGACCGGGGCTCAGAGCTTACAAGGGTCTTCGGTCAAATACTTCAGCCACCTGCTGAGCGAGGCACTCCAAGTCCCCAAACAATACAGACCAAGCCCCCACCTTCAGTGACCTCAGTCTGGTGAACAGAGATAGTCAGCGTTCAATAGACAAAAATCAACCAAAGACAAGCTAGACAATCACAGACTGTGTCATAAGCTGGGAAGAGACCAAGCCAAGAGAAGCTATGGACAGTGATTAGGATGGGAGGGGCAGGCGCGGTGCTTCCAGTGGGTGATCAGGAAGGCCTCTGGGAGGAGGTGACAATTCAGCTGAACCCGGAGGATGAGAAGCAGCCAGTGAGCCAAGGGCTGGGTAGACCCAGCAGAGGCTGGATTTGCACCAGGCAGTTGTGGAGGCCTCAAACCACCTCCTGTCCAGCCGCTCTGAGAGCCCTACAAGGTTGGCATCTTCTGCCATCTCCGCCCCCGCCCCCCACACACACACCCCTACACACACACAGGGGCTCAGAGAGGTTAAGTGATTTGATCAACACCACACAGCCAATAGCAGTGGAGCAGATGTTAATCCAAGAACATCTGGTCCAAACTCGGCTCTTAGCATGGACCTCGTTTGATTCGACTCATTGATTTATCAGCTACCACCACTGGCAACTCCATTAACTAGTGAGTTAACTAGTGAGTTGTCTGTTTACACGTTTTTATTCATACTCAGCCTCATTCCAAAGAGGGTTCAAAGCACCTGATCTCTGTATTTGCCTGGACTGGTGACACCGAAATCCCATGGGGGTGTCTTCTCCACTCAGGCTCGGGTTTTTTAAGATGCTCTCACAGACAAGATGTCCAAGGAGATGCTTAGAAGCCTTCTCAGCTCTGTTGCCTGTTCACCAGGGTGCGATCGTTCGATCAGCCAAGGTTCTACAGACACCTGGAAGCTCAGGACTCCCTTTACCAGGCCAAACACCAAGCGAACCGACCAAAACCCTCCCATGTGGTCTGGTGAGGAGCAAAGGCCCCCAGAGAGTCGGAGAGTCGAGTGGGGGCCGTGAGCTCTGCCCCTCTCCCTGCCTCCCCTGCCATCATTCTGCGCACAGGCGACCTCCGGCTGCGTCTCTCACCCAGCCCAGCCCTAACTGGCGCTGCGCAGCCCCGAAAGCAGGCCAGGGTGGCAGAAAAGGCTCTTTCTAACCCTCTGGCTCGCTTCCCAGCCTGCGGGTTGATGAAACCCATTGCAATGACCTCCCTGAAATGCAGGAAAATGGGTCACTCCCTGATTGCCAAGTCTGCCAAAAATAGGTACGTTACATCATGGCCACACAGGACCTGACTCTCCCTCAACCAGGTGTGCATTGGGGGAGTTTTTGAAGTAGCTTGCCAGCTGAAAAAAGAGGCTGCCATTCAGGGCGCCCTGATGGGCCTGGAATAACAGCCAGCGAGTGTGCAGGCGCTGGGCCTACTCTCAGCCCTTCGCTCACAGGAACTCAGTCCTCCTCACAGCAGCTCGAGCGGGCGGGAGGCAGATACTACGGGCACCCCTGGTTTACAGGGAAGGAAACCAAGGCCCAGAGAGCGTGCACCACCTGTCTAAGGTCCCAGCCAGAAGGGAGCAGGGCCTGGATTTAAGCTCACTCTGCTGGGTCGCATGCAACGAAACAGCTTCTCAAAGGCCTAAGAGAGGGTTTTCATGATGTGACTCAATCAGACCCTCCTATCCAGCTGCCATGACGGGCACAAAAGGACAGATGGAAATGGCAGAGATGACCTTGCAGGCGGTTCTCAGATTCCAGTTTCACTCTGGTCACATGCAAAGGCCATAGAGAATAAAGAATTAAAAATAAAGAATTAAAGTGTGTGTGTGTGTGGGGGGGGGGGACATGGTAGCAGAGATTAGAGATGTTAAAAGTCTTCCATGTGGGGGCCTGAATTAGCCTCTTCCCGTGACGTGTTAGCCCCCTAGTTCTGATTGTTCGGTCAAGTGCAGGACGGCTGGCCTCAGCTCCCCAAACCTCAGGTGACTGCGAGCCAGGTCTACCAGGAGACCGCCCGGGAGACAGCGCTGCACCCTGGGCTCCCGACCGCCCAACTCCCAAAGGAAACGCCTCCTCCAGGCAGCCCCCTTGATTTGGGGCGGTGATGGGTACGTTCTGGGCTGAAGAAAAAATTTGCTTTTCTGCAGAGAGGCAGTTTCAAGAAATCACATTTCCCAGGTAGAGAGTAACCATCCCTGCAGTGACAGCGTTTTGTCTGTTTTAGTTCTGAGAGAGAGATTACGGGAGAGACAAAGGCTCCTTCCTCGCCCTCCATCCCTGCCCCAGGCAAACTCTGTCCCCAGCAGTGGGAGAAAACAAGCCACACAGGTTCCCGGGGACGCGTGTGCGGACGTCAGCTTCGAGCCCTGGTGAAGAGCCGTGGGCTCCTGGGTGCCCATCTCCCCGGGGGACCTGAGGGGCAGTCTGCTCAGCACTGCCCAAGAGAAATGGAACATGAGGTCATCTTACATTTTCTAATAACCATAGTTTTAAAAAAATAAGAAAGTGAAAAGGAACAGGTGAAATAAATTTAATACATTACTTAACCTAATATATCCAAAATGTCATCTCCTCAACATGGAATCAACATGAAAATTATTGAGATGTTTACAACCTTTTTGATGTACTAAGTTTTGGTGTATTTCACACTCATAATTCATCTGAGTTTCGACGCAGCCACATTTCAAAGGCTCAGCAGCCGCATGTGGCCGTGGCCACCCTCCAGGACCACAGAGGTCTAGGTCACTGCTCACCTGGATTATCAGGAACCTTGTTCAGCATCCCCCACCCACCCCCCAGGAATCAGCCAGCTCCCTGCTCCTCAAGCGAGGTCACTGGCTTCTCAGTGTCACCTGGGGCTCCTGGAAATGCAGACTCTCAGGCCCCACCCAGGACCTATTCAGATCATGATCTGAATTTTAACATCCCCGCGGCTCCCCCCCGCCCCCACACACACACACTGCCCAACCTTCAGGTGATTCATTTGAACAAAAAAACTCTGAGAAGCCTGATTCCTCCTCTTAAATACTTCCAGTGGCAGGGGACTCACTACCCACCCCCAAGGAAGCCCATGCCATCTTCAATGGGTTCTAATGGTTGGAAAAGCATTTACCCGTCCTTCACTGAGCCCCCATGAGCCCGGCACTGCGCTAAGTGCATCACATAAATTATCTCACTTAAGCCCTATGGAATGGGGGCTCATGTTGGCTCCTTTTTTTTTTTTTACATAGCAAATGGAGGCCCCCACAAAACTAGATCACTTGCCCCAGATCACAGGGCTCGCCAGCAGCCTGCCTCAGTGTTGGTTTGCTTAGCCACTCACTCCACCAGGGACTCTGGTAGCTCCTGCCGGCTGCCCCACCTGCACCCGACCCCAAGGCCGTTGGAACCCAGGAGGCCTTCCCACCTTCAGAGTAAAGGGAAGTGTGTCGGCCCTCAGCAGTACCTTGGCCTTGTGGTTGCGTGGGTGTCATTTAGGACAGATATCATTCCTTTTCGTTCAGTATTTCTATTGCTGAAGAAACCCTGGTGGTCACTGCCCACTCAGCATGTCCTTTCCCCATCAAGGATTAGGACACGTTTAGAAACTGGCATCTAAGCAAATGGGCAGGAATTAATACAAGGCATCTGATGTCATTCGACCGCTCTCACGTTCCTGGTTTCCAATTAAATACAGCATGTGGCTGGAGCAATGACGTAGGGTCACACATTACATGAGGGGCCCCCATGACACAAGTTCACGGAGAGGTGCCCCCATAGGGAGGACACTGAAGCTGCCACGAAATGCCACGAGGTAGCACGACAGGAGTGTGACCCGATGGGAGAACAGGCAAGAGAGTAAGCCAGCTGTGCAGGGGGGCTACCCCCTCACCGTCCTGTGTCTGCCCCCAGAAAACCGCAAGAACATGGCTTTCCATCTGTCTTTCCACCAACGGCCTGGCCTTGCCGGCCCCACGGTGGAGGACTGAGCACCGATATGGAACGTAACCCGTTGTCTCAGATATGAACCATATTCTCCAGTCAGAGGGCAGTCATGTGTCCTGAGTAATAATGGCGACGATTGGAAGAGGCGCTGCACTCTCTGGTAAAGAAGTTGATGCTTTTAAAGGACTATCCCATTCTTCAACGTCCCAGGAAGCCAGGACTCACTGGTGTTTGAGGGGGTGGGGCATGGAAGTGAGAGAGGGGGAGGGATGGAAGGAGGTGATGGATTAGCACCAATGGGGACCAAGTGGCACCTGCCCGAGGCCCTAACATCAAATCCACGCAAATAAAATCCCTCTGTGCCCGCTGGCTTCCACATCACATGTGATGCCTGCATCGAATTTCTCCACGTTTAGAAAGTGCATGTGGGGTGGCCAGATGTAAGGTAGTGACTACGTGGAACACACAACATTCACCTGGGGGATGGGAGGAGTTTAAGAGATCCCAGAAGAATTCACAGCCATCCTCCTGAGTCACCAGAGACCTTTTTGTATCAGTTGAGAAATATCGGACACATCAAGAAGCCCCACCTGAGAAAACAAACAGCGATTTCAAATACGAGTCCGGGCCTAAAGTCCTAACAGACCATCTGACTGGCAGCCATGACTTAGGACCTGGATCCTTCTGACATGGGCATTTCCATGTGGCTGCAGGGGCTGGTGGGTTGAAAGATGGTTCATGATCGTCCAACGCACTGCAGCTGGGTGTGAAATGACCCCAAACACCCACTCGGGGGCCCGGAAGCCCCACTCCACGGTCACCAGCGTTCCTTTCCTTCCTGCAACACTCGGCGTCCACGTCGGGTGTCCTCCTGCAGACGCAGGCCAGGGTCTCCAGCATGAGTGAGGCTCCAGGCGGCAGGAAACTGCATTGGTTTCTATGCAACAGACCCTTTGGGACAGAACCAATCGCGGCCACCGTTGCATCCTTAGGGCCCGGGTCACTGCTCAGCTCGCCGTGGGCACTCAGTATAAATTTGCCAGCGTCCGTCCTGGGAGACCTCACCCTTGTGTTCTCACCTCTTCCTCCGGCGCAGTAGGGATCACAGCAGGTGACCCTCGATGGCGGCTTATTTTGTCCCAAACACCACACTAACCGCTCCACTGGCATCGGCCCCATGAACACCCACCAGCAAGGTGACATCCGATCATCGTTTCTCTCTTCCACAACAGGAAACCAAGGTGCCCGAGAATCAGTCACACGTCCGATGTCCCTGCCAGCAGGTGGCAGGACCAGGATGCGACCCCTGGTCCCGGCCTCCTTCCTGGAGCCGCTTCTCTCGGATGCTTCATCCTTATATTCGCTGTGGGCACCAGCGACTCAGGGTGACCCACAGTGCTCCCTCGAGGGGAGTGGGGAGGGTCGCTCTGCACCAGAGCTGCCCCCGTGGAGACGCCCCTGCAGCAGCTCCTCAGAGAGGCCCCGGTCCGCTCCGCCTGCCGTTTGAAAGTCATTTGGGAACCTGGGCCCCGGGCCAGGCGCTACGATGGAAGGATGAGCAGTCTGCGGTTCTGCTCTCCAGGACTCGCAGGCTGGTCTGGGGTGCAGATGAAGAGACGGACGATGTCAACACAACATGGCATTGACACAGACTTCTGCCCAGCCGGTGTGGCCCAGTGGCTGGGCGGCGACCGATGAACCGGGAGATCACGGTTTGATTCCTGATCAGGGCATACGCCCAGGTGGTGGGCTCGATCCCCAGGGTGGGGCGTGGAGGAGGCAGCCAATCAATGATTCTCATCATTGAGGTTTCTATCTCTCTCCCTATATATTTTTTTTAAAGAAACAGACTTCTACCAAACACCGCTGAGCTAGCATCACATCACTAGGGCCTGAACAGGGTGTGGGGACGGTGCAGACCCTGCCCTCATCTGCCCCCGAACAGCTCAGAAGCTGGGCAGTCCACACTGGAGCCCGAATGCAGAGTCGACACCAAATGTGTTGGAGGCGTGCAGAGGGGGTGAGATCATTGTGAGCTGAGGTCATTGCCACCCTCGGGGAGATGAAAGCGAAATCGGTCCTGGCAGATGCCCCGAGCGTCCCTGTCATCCTTAAGCATTTCTCTGGAGACGGTTCTGTGGGAGAATTGGATGGCAGCGCTTGCCGTGGCCACATCTGTACAGCAGTCCTCGCCGGGGGCTCCCATCACTGCCTGGGAGCCTCCACGGTTCCCCTTCGGCTAGAGAAACCTCGGGAGAACATCATCTGAATCAAGGGTGTGCAGGGCTGAGCCCGGGTCAGGGGCTGGGGGATTGCTGGGGGTCTGTGAGGTCGAATAAGCTCCTTGAACTTGGCTCTGACTGTGAATAGCACATATGAGCGGCGTTAGCACCCCGAAGGGTAACATCTAGTGGAAATAGCCAGGTCTTTCTCCAGAGAGCCACACGGACATGCCCACTTTTCAGAGCCCGGACCAAGGCTCTGGGGTGTTCTCTCAGCCTTCACGCAACCAATTTTCCAAAGTGCTCGGTGATGAATGCTTCCCCCAGAGATCCTCTCCATGTCAAGGGGAAGAGGAAAATAAAAGCTTTCCTGCAACTGGTGTACACCTTGGGCAGAGCAGGTTCATGGTCAGCCTGATGAGAGTAGCAATAGAGCCAGTATTTCACAGGACAGCCTGTCAAAGGCCAGCGAGGCATGTTCATCACTTCTCAAATGCAGAAGTCCAGTGGCCATGGAGTGTGCAGGAGGTGTTGCTATGAATAGAACAGTTTGGTTTTTTTCTATGGGATTTCGGAACGAGAATAGCTCATTTAGTCTTTGTAGCACTTGGCACAGCGTCTCTTAAGCACAATCTGTTTCTGTGCAATGCATGGGTTTATTCATTCATTCTTCAAGTAGTTACTGAGCACCTGCTAAATGCAAGACACTCACTCAAATAGAAGCTGGAGAAAACTGACAAAGTCCCTGCCCTCAGGGAACTTGTATTCTTATGGAGGAGGCAGACATATGAAATAAGATACACCTGTTACATATATTCTAATTTGTGATAGAACCACCAGAGAAAAGAGAATTAGGGGATAAGTAAAAAAAAAAAAAAAAAAAAAAAAAAAAACAGAAACAAGCAGTGACTAATTTTAGAGAAAGGTATATTTTGGGTTCAGGCCCAAAAAGGATCTTGCTACAAAGGGAACCTTGATGCTTCATTTAAAAAGGAGCCACTTGCAAAGGACAGAGAAAGGTATATCAGCCATGAGGCATAGCTTGTGCAAATGTCCTGGGGCAGGAGGGAGCACAGCATAACTGGAGAAGCTGAGAGGGAACCAGTGGGGTTGCGGTGTGATGAGTGACAGGGAAGGGGCTGAAGGAGCGGGCAGGGGCCAAGCCAAGTGCTCCATGCTCTGAAGGTGTCCTGCCTTCCCCATTCTTCTCTCTGGCTTCACTTAGCTACTCATTGCAACAGACCAGTGCCTGACTCCTTCCCCTCCCTGCACCGAGCGCCCCAGGAGC